ATTAGGCTGAAAAGAGTTGAAATTTTAGTGCAAAAAATGTAGAATTAGCTGAAAAAGCTAAAATTAGCATAAAAACAGCTAAATAATATCTGAAATATTAAAAAAAAAGCTGAAACTTGCAGAAAGAAGTTAAAAGCTCAAAAATGTTGTAGTTAGCAGAAAGATTTTGAAAGGATTACAAAACAGCTGAAAAAAATAGCTGAAAGTAGCTGAAAAAAGGTTAAAATTTGCACAAGGAAGCTGAAATAAGCTGAGAACAAAATGTGAAAGGAGCAGTAAAAGGTTGTAAACAGATCTAAAGATTTGAAGGATGGAAAATGAGCTCAACTCATTTTCTATTAAAAAAAAATGGCAGAAAAAGCTAAATATTTCAAAAAGCTAAAGTTGCACCAACACCAAAAGTCATAGACAAATTGTCTTGAAAGAGCTGAATGTTTTGATTTATGATTTGTTGAAATAGCACCAAAATTTTGGAACGAGAAAGATGCAGAAAAACATACAGAAGAAAAACGAATCACAATAGTGTGAATGTTTCATAAACGTTCACACAATAAAATTAAATATGGAATACGCTGGGCTCAGATCTAAAACACAACAAATGGTGAAATAAATGCAAACTGACTTAGTATTTTCTGATTTCCACCAGCCCCTCATTTTTCTAATCTGGTGTTGCATAAACTCAGCTGAAGGAGTGCCCGTTTACAGATAACTGTCACCAACCATTACATGGAAGCCGTAACAGTCCGGGAGCTCGTGGTGCCTCACGGTCTGCAGGTTGATGGTTTTCAGATTGAAGCTGATGTTTACTGATAACAACCTGCACACACAAATAAAACTTAGCAGGCTGCACTGTTTCCACCTGACTGTTGAGTGGAGTGGCCTACCTGTTAAAATCTAAAGAAAAGTTGACTTTAGTCGACAAACCGCTGCTGTCCAGCTGCACAGGATAGATGGAAATACAATCTGTGAGGAGGGAAAATGTAAAAAAAGATGCTTCATTAAAAAGCAGAGCAGGAGGAATAGTGTGAATTTATACATCAAAACGTTTGGTTCAGTCAGTAACAGTGTCTCTGACGTTTAGTGGCCCGTAACTTTGATAGTTATTTATTAATTATCTTGAATTATAAAAACTGCTACTCTTCAATTTCTTTGTTTTCGGAGTCTGCTTCAGCACACCTTCTGTTTTTTGTTGTCTGATGAGTTTAGCTTATAACTGCTTTTAGCTTTAATCTAAGCTTTTAGCTACTAATTTATTGCATGTAGCTTTTAACTACCGGTATTGTTTTGACTAATTTAGCACTTATCTACTATTTTGTGCATTTTAGCTTTTAGCTAAGTATGGTTTTTAGCAACTGGATTGTGTTTAGCTCAGGTTTTACTTATTTGAGCTATTAGCTGTGGTTCTGCAAAATTTAAATTCAAGCAACAGTTTAGCTCATTTGGATTTTGTGCTACTGTTTAGCTAAGTTCAGCTTATAGCTGCAGTTTTTCAACGTTTAGATTTTATGGTTTTGGAAAATTTCCTTTTTAGCTTCTGTTATGCTAACTTTACTTCTAAACTATACACTTTAGGTAGATTGTGCATTTATCTAGAAGTTGGCTAATTTTAGCTTTAAGCATTCATGTATTGTTTTGTTACATTTAGCTTTTACTTACTGCTTTGCTGATTTTATAGTTTAGTTATTGTTTTGATCATTGTAGCTTTTAGCTACTGTTTAGCTGCATGTGGCAATCAGTTTTTTTGTGTTTAGCTATGGTTTAGCCACATTTAGCTTTTAGTTATTGTTATGCTAATTTTAGCTCTTAGCTACAGCTTTTGTATGTTTTGCGTTTATCTGCAATTTTCCAACTTTAGCTTTCCAATTTGACTTAGCTAAATTTAGCTACAGATTTGCTGGTTGTCTTGTAGCTTCTAGTTTGCTAATTTGAGCTTTTATCTACAGTTTTGCAGATTAAAGATTCTGTTTTGTTTATTTTTTTCTAGCAAATTTCAGCTTTTCAGCATTAAAATGAGATTTGTGCAGAAAAAATGCAGTTAATATCTTACTTCCTCTTTGATGTCACATGATCCACATTGTGACTGTTTTCCAATCTTGCCTGTGATTCAGCTTTTATAAATTTGCTTCGCCATAAAGTCACAAAGATAAATGAAACCTGAACAAATAAAGATTCAGCAGCTTAGAGTTTTTACCTTTGTCAGTGTGTGGATCAATATCAAAGGTGTCTCTCGCAGGGTCCAGGGTGACGTTTTCGTAGAGCACTTGGCAGATGGACAAAGGTGTGTACTCGCCACCAACCCTCTCATATGCAAGATTTCCTAAAGTCAGGTTCTGGAGACTGGTGTACTAAGAAAGAAGGGGAAACCGTAATTATTTTGACATTTAAACAGACAAGATTTATGTCAAAGTGCATGCTCAATAATCCAGGTTAAAAAAATCCAACAAAGTTAAGTCAGGGCACTATGAGTGTGCTGCTTGTGGGGCTGAGTTTGTTGTGGCTCCTCGGACTGATGAAGTCCTTTGGATGAAGGACGAAACATTTCCACAAAAAAACGCCATCCAGATGACCTGACTTCACTTTGCTGGATTTCTGTTTGTGGTGTTTGCAGTACCCGGTCAATGATGTAATAGATGTGGTCGTACACATCTGTTTGGGTGTAAAGTGCATAGTTTCCCTGCCGGTGGTCCCTGTATCTTTCCAGGAAGATGTGTCTGAACGTCATCAGATTATCCTCTTTGAACGTGGCCATCATTTCATTGCTCAAGCCGAAAGAGACCAGCTGCGGAAAACAGATGAAACACGAGACAAATCTGTGCACGTTCGTGCTCACCGGTGAATCAAAAGGGTTCTTTTACCAACCTGAACAGTGATGATGATAATTTTGATAATCTGTAGTATCAGTTTCCATGGTTTGCGACCCCTCGCTCTGTACTTATCACACGGGTTCATGAAGAAGTACTTCAGCTTCCGTCTGAAGTCCTCAATAGTGTTCGAGTCCAGTGTGCGCGTGCTCCATCTGCAGCCGCCGTTCACCCTCCTCGCCTCGGCCTTCGTGCTCAGCAGTGGCTCAGATTCCTCCATTAAACTTCAACACAAACAAGAAAAATAACTTTTCAACTATAAGGAGGCAAGTTGTTTGTGAAGCAGACATCTTTACACATCTGTCCATTCCAGTCATTTTGATGTTTATCAAACCGGTTCTCCTGCTGAATGGTCATATGTTCTCCTCCACAGGTGTAAATGATGTGTCATAGTGTTAAAAATCATTTTAAACCAAAATGAATAAATCATGTTCTAAAACAGGTGTGCAAAATGTGGCTCTGGGGTCACATTTGACTCTTTGGACCCCTCCAGGGGCTATAGGTTTAATCAAAACTAACATAGAAATTAATCTTATTTTTCTTCATTCCTACAATAACAATGGCAGATTTGAGCATTTGTGACAAATTCTGAAAAAAAATTCTGCCAAGGGTTTTGTTTACATTGGGTGCGTACCCTCATTTCAGAACTACATCAATCAAAATATCTGAAAAGGAACTGGAGTTAACTCTTTCAAGTTGCATCATTTAACAGAATTCAGGATAACCTTTTTAATATTTGACTTCATATTTTGCAAAGAGTAGTTTGGTTTTCTAACATTCAGCCACACGGGGTGATTTATCTCTAAAAGTTAAAACACTTTTCCTACATTTGAAGTAAGTTACAGAAAAATAAAACAGAAAGTGAAGTTTTGCAAACACAATAAACTTTTATATTTGGATTCATTAAACTTAAGCATGTGGCATGTAATTCTGGTAACCATAACAATTAAAAAGAAAAGTCTTACCTTAGATAAAAACAATAAAAGTTGGAGTAAATAAAAGTCTATGCCTTTATCATGAGAAATTCAATAAATCACAATCACACAAAAACTTGGTCCAAGTATTCTAACAGTTTATTAGAATGCATTTATAAGAATTATTTTTTTAAAATAAATAATAATATACATTTTCCACAGATATATAAACAGGATTCAAATTATTCAGTGTCTAAATTTAATCAACATGATTTTGCTCTCTTGCTTTGCTTAATATGTAAAATTCATAATAAATAATTTATTACAGAACTTTAATTTTATAATAAAATAAGCAGCAGTTTTTACATGTAATGTTTTCAAAACATTTAGTGAGTTGTGTTAGTTTTGTTTAAAGCTTCAAGTATGTTTTGAGACTGAATACCTTTTAGGGTGGCACAGTGGAGCAGTGGTTACCACTGTCGCCTCACTGTCGCTAGAAGGTTGCAGGTTCTGGATCCTGGTGATTTTCTGTGTGGGGTGATGGACTCCTGTGATGGCCAGGATGTATCCCAGATGGCTACCAGCTCCTCCACAACCCAGAAAGAAAGAAAAGGGTAAAAAAAGGATGGATGGATGGATGGATGATGGATGAATGATGGATAGATGGATGAACATATGGATGGATAAATGGATAGATGGATCGATGGATGATGGATGAACAGATGAATGGACAATGGATGGATGAACAGGTGGATGGACAAACAGATAATGAATGGATGATGGATGAATGGGTGATGGATGGATGGATGGATGGATGGATGGATGGATGGATGGATGGATGTGTG